GTATGAGTTCATGTCATTCCTTTTTTGCTGCATTAGATCATATGAAATCAGGCACCTGGATTATTGATACAGGAGCCAGTAATCACATTTGCACTGACTTGAAATTGATGACAGAATTGACTCTTATTGTCCAACCCACTCTCATTTGTTTACCTGATGGAACAAGCAAATCAGTAAATCATGTTGGAAATATAGAACTAAATCCTAAACTGCATCTAACTAATGCCTTATATGTTCCCAGCTTCAAATATAATCTCTATCAGTTCCAAAAATCACCCAAACAGCTAGCCTAAAATTGATTTTTTATCCTAATTTTTGTTTGTTGCAAGACCTGCATAGTGAAGAGGTATTAGCAGTTGGCAAACTCGTAGGAAAGTTATATTTGTTAGATGAGTCTAGCTTTATTTTTCATGGAAATAGAAGTAAAGACAAACTGTTTGTTCAACCAAAACTTGCTCAATGTACTGCTTCTGCTTGTAATCAAATCTATGATATCAATAAAGTCTCTAATTCCATATCTTCAGATCTTTTTATTGAATGGCATAATAGACTTGGCCACGCGTCTTATCACACTATGCAGTACTTAGAGGTCCTTAAGAATATTCCAAAAAATTCTGACTTACTAAAGGAATGTGAGATATGTCATAAAGCTAAACAACATAGAAAACTATTTCCCATCAGCACTATACATACAGAATCCATTTTTGACCTCATCCATGTGGATCTCTGGGGACCTTACAGGCAATTTTCTTTAACAGGGACTCCCTATTTGCTTACCATAGTTGATGATTATAGTCTAGCAACATGGACCTTCTTACTTGTGTACAAAACACAAGTTGCCAAAACCTTAAATGATTTTTTCCGAATGGTGGAAACACAATTTAACAAAAGGGTGAAATGCGTTCGAACTGATAATGGGACTGAATTTGTTGGTCGCGAATGCCAAAATATCTTCAAAATGCTTGGTATTATTCACCATAAAACCTGTGTCTATACACCTCAACAAAATGAGGTAATGGAGAGAAAACACAAGCATTTGCTACAGATAGCCAGATCCTTAATGTTCCAAGCCTGTTTACCAAAAAAATTCTGGTCCTTTTCCTTGTTGATGGCCACTTTCATCATAAACAGACTACCTACCCAGGTTCTTCTTTGGCAAACACCTTTTGAGAGACTATTTGGTCAAAAACCAGATTATTCATTGTTTAAAACCTTTGGCTCCTTATGTTATATTGCCAATACCAAGCCACACAAAACCAAGTTTGAATCCAGATCTCACAAGTGTATTTTCCTTTTGTATATTCTAGGTCAGAAGGGATTTAACGTGTTTGATATTGAAACTAAACAATTACATGTTTCCAGAGACATTGAATTTTTTGAATCTATTTTTCCCTTCAAACAAGATCCATCTATTGAGTCCAATTCTTCACTACCTCTCTTTCCTACCTCCATTGATGATCAAGACTTGGAACCTGAGGGGGTTCCACATATCCCAAATGTTTTACCTCCTGTAGAACTGGCCCAAGAGTCACCATCTACTTCTGATAAATCATCACAATCTGTTCCCATCATACAGGTACCTTTTTCTGAAAATCAATCTTATTCTGAATCTCAGCCACTTCCCGTTTTCTCTATTCCAAATATTCGACACAGTGCTAGAAATAAGACTCAACCATCTTGGCTGCAGGACTATGTCACAAATGTTACTATCAAGCGAGAATTGCCAATTGCTAATCCTGCTTCATGCTGCACAAAGGTCTCTTCTACTCATACAGGGTATACTCCACAAACTTTTCCATATATTTTTCCTTTGCACCTTAATCCTACCTATAGTGCATTTCTGGCGAATGTATCAATTACACAGGAACCTGTTTCTTATAATCAAGCCTGTAAGAGTGATGCTTGGAATCAAGCTATGTTGCAAGAACTCGATGCTCTGGAAAATAATCAGACCTGGGAATTAACCACTCTTCCGCCGACAAGCAAGCAATTGGTTCCAAATGGGTATACAAGATTAAATGTTCATGCTGATGGCTCAGTGGATAGATACAAGGCAAGGCTAGCTGCCAAGGGATACCATCAACAACAC